GGCTGGAGCAAGCCAGGAGAAAGCCAAGGTTTCTGTCTTGCATCGGTGGCACACATCGCAGTTGGCAACCCAGGACTTGACAGCATACTTCATACCCCGTCAGTAGAAATGAGTCTTGATCCGTTGGTAAGTTCACTGATCTCCAGAATGTCCACCAACAAGAGAGGAGTGGAAGAGTTTGAATCAACTTATAACGCATAGAGCCAGTATTCCCCATTACTATGGCACCCTTGTAGCGCAGAATGGCTTCAGAAAAAGTCCACAATGAAGGTCCTTGCAGATTGACAGCAGTTGCAGCTATCAGTTCAGTCACCTCAAAATCATTGGCATGGGTCTGTTCAATTTCCACCAACCATTCAGGCAGGACAGTAGTAAGGGCACTACAATTGCCCTCCTCTACATCATCATTGAATAGTCGTGACAAAGCATCGGCAGCTCCATTGAATCGTCCCTTCCTATACTTAATCTGGAAATCCAAACCCACAAGCTTCACTAACCCTTTCTTCTGAATACCAGTGTGTACCTTTTGTCCCAAAAGAAACTTCAAACTCTCGTGGTCAGTAACAATAGTGAATGCTCGACCCTCCAAATAGTGGCGCCAATGATCAACTGCCATGAGAACAACGAGATACTCCTTTTCATAAGTTCTCAGACCCTAATTTCTGACACTTAAGGATTTGCTGAAATAGGCTAGAGGTCGCCCTCCTTGGGATAATACAACACCAACTCCAGTTCCACAAGTGTCTGTCTCCAGGATGAAAGGAATTGTAAAGTTGGGAAGAGCCAACACAGGGACTTCACACATGGCTTGTTTCAGGGCAACAAATGCGGCATCGGCTGCAGAACTCCACTGGAACCCATTTTTCCGCAGCAGATCAGTCAAAGGGTGACTAATTGTTACATAGTGGCGTACAAATTTCCTGTAATAGCCCGTGTGACCCAAAAACCCCCTTAGTTGCTTGACAGATTGCGGTCGTGGCCATCTCTACATAGCTGAAATTTTGCTTGGATCAGTTGCTACACCCTCACAACTAATAATGTGGCCCAGATATTTCACCTTGGGTTGGCCAAAGGCACACTTTGATTCCTTGGAAAACAGATGATTGTCTCTCAACAGTTTCAAGGCAATCTCCAAGTGTTGTAAATGAGCCTCATTTGTCTTACTATATACTAGAATATCATCGAACAACACTAAAATAAATTTCCGCAAGTACTGACCAAACACATGATTCATGAGAGCCTGGAAGGTGGAAGGGGCATTGGTGAGACCAAAGGGCATAACCATGAACTTATAATGGCCCTAATGAGTTCTGAAGGCAGTTTTGAACTGATCCAAAGGGTGCATACGGATTTGATGGTAACTAGCCTGTAAATCCAGCTTGGAAAAGATAATAGAACCATGTAATTCATCCAATAAATCTTCTATGTGTGGAATGGGAAACTTGTCCTTGATAGTGGCAGCATTTAACTCCCTGTAATCAACACAGAAGCGCCAAGTGCCATCCTTTTTTCCAATAAGTAAGACCGGAGAAGCATAGGGGCTATGACTATGTTGTATGAACTCAGACTGCAACATTTCATTCACCAACTTTTCAGCTACATCCTTCTGGTGGTGAGGGAAGCGATAAGGGCAGATTTTTATGGGTTTAGCATTGGGAAGAAGAGGAATAGTGTGATCAAAAGTACGGGAGGGTGGAAGTGAAGAAGGAGCGGCAAACACATCAGAGAAAGTGGCGAGCAGGGGTGTCAAGAAAGGTGGTGTGGGACTAGGGTTAGGGGTGGCTTCAATGGAAAACACAGCTCATGTTAAGTGGGAGCAAGGTTTCTTAAGGAGATGCTGGAAAATACGACCTATCATCATCTTACACTGTCCATCCTTAGAGAGACCTTGGAGAGTTAGAGTACCCCCTTTCCATTCAAAAGCCAGTTGTCGCTTCTTGAGATCCACTTGGAAAGGGCTAATGGTTTCCAACCAATCCCAACCCAAAACCAAATCATGAGAAGACAACTCCAATGTTCTGACATCAAACCCGAACTCATGGCCGTGCATTTTCTACCCTACAAATCGCATTACTAACCAGTGTATGACCACTAGCAACTTTCACTCGCATAGGAGCAATGCTTTCAGTGGGGCAGTTCAATTCTTCCACCCTAATCGAGTTTAAGAAAGTATGTGAACTACTAGTGTCAATCAAAACAGTTACCTCCTTATGTCCTGATGCGGCTGGAATCAGTAGGGAATTACCTGAAAATTCGGACCCCATAGCTTGCAAAGAAACCTCAAGCTTAGCGTCCTGAAATTCTTCATCACCTTCGTCCTCCTCACTAGCCAACGGAGTGACCTCCGCATGCGTCACCTAACGCTGCTTCTTCCGAGTGCAAATATGGTCGTGGAAGTATTTATCACCACATTTGTAGCACAGACCTTGCATGCGGGGAACGGAGGAGCGCTTTATGGCCTGAAAAGAAGAAGATGGGGAAGCCTTCGCCGGAATCGGTGGAACGGTCACCACCCAACGACTGTAAGAAGTGGTACGAGCCAACCGCTTGCTGGCTTCAATGGCGGCCTCCTCAAGACGAGCCTGATAGAAAGCACACGCCAAGGTCGGAGGATTAAGCACATGTACGCGAGGCTGAATTTCGTCGTCAAGGCCTCCCAAGAAACTGAGGATGAAATAATGCCCGTTAACCTCTGGATTGAGGCAAAGCATACGCGAGTGTAACTCCTCATGATATCGCGAAATAGAGCCCGTCTGGTGGAGATGATTGAAAGATGCCACCACATTCATCTGCTCCAGATTGCAGAAGCGATGAAGCAACTCATCGACGAACTGGCCCCAAATCAACGGAAAACGTCGGAAAGACCAACCCTCGAACCATGTATGAGCTCGACCTTCTAGGTAATAGGAGACTAACTCCACCTTCTGGTCTTCGGGAATGGAATAGAGCTGGAAAAGCTTGACACATTTGCATAGTCACACATGCGGATCTGACCCGGAGAAATAAGAAAATTCGCGGCGAGGATAGTGATCGAGAATTGACGATCGTCGCTGCTGATGACAGAAGTGGTGGTGCTCAGCGAAGTGACCAGTGTTGGTGTGCGGCGGCGAGCGAACCGGCAATTTCTCCCGCACCCGAGCGATGGAAGCCGTCAGAGCGTCAATGTTGTCCTTCGTCGAAGCCGCCAACGTGAAAATAGCGTCCTTCATATCCTAATGCTGAGTGTCGAGCTTCAACTGTACTGCCGACATCTGAGTCTCCAAATAGACGATGCGAGAGGTGTTCGTCGCCATTGCCAAATCACAAGCTCTGAATACCATTTGTAAGGATCAATAATGGTGGATTCTGGCGAAAGGGCAAAATTGGGGAAAGAGAAGTAGGAGATAAGAACAGAGAGGAGTTCTACTTTTATTGCTAACTAGTCAATTTGGTAAAGCTGTTTACAGTTTAGCTGATTGGACAAATGATACCCAATGACAGTTCACTCTCCCTCTTTATACATTGGCTCTCTCGGTGCACGTCACCAAGCCAGCTGTAACCCAATATGATATGGGCTGTTACATCGACTAGCCCGACCTTGTACCCGCACGGGTATCACCCGCCCCAATCCGTAGTAGCACATGGTGGGGCATGAGTATTGAGGTACCCGTCTCGACTCGGCCATTGCCAATTTGCCATCACTAATTGGGTGGATAGGGGCAAAGCGAGGAGTAGAGGGAGAAAAAAGAAAGATAGTGATATATTATGTAACCTAATTCGCCATGTTTGGGTTGCCGCTCTCGCTTTAGAGTGCGGAAACGCGAATTTTAGTGAGATCGTCCAAAATTCGCGAAGTCACTTTCGCAAGAGCGCGGATCGGATTCGCTTGTTCCGCCCAACAACCATTCTCTCAGGTCAATCCTGAGATCCCAAATACCTCCTTTCTTTCGTCCATCGGCAACAAGTCCCTCTCTCCTTGTTGCCCCCGCCCTGCCACCATCATCGCTGTCAATTCTTACCATGCCATCGTAGAGTCTATCCATGGCTAGCCGTTTACTTCTATCGTCTTTCTCCCAGTTCGCCGGTTGCCATCCTTGCCGGAGTCGTCGCTCTGGCTATCAGTGACCATGCATTAAGACAACTCTGTTCCTACCTCCAGACTAATAGATTTTACACAGACAGAGTAGGAAATTGCAGATGGTGTCCGTTGATGTGATGAAGGAGATGGAATCCTTGGTTTTGATTGATTGAGAAAGCATGCAAAACCCATATATGCTTCCTTTTGCGGTCATGACTCATGGTGTGTGGGGGATTCTTTGCCGCCAACAATATCTGAGACTGAGAGGCATTGGCGTTGCCGCTAAATTGTCCGTGCCGTGATTCGTTCGCACATTTTCGTCTCCTTCCTCCGGGGACAACTCCGTCCTTTCTATTTTCGTCGCTGGTTAACTAGAAAGGAATTGATCATTAGCTTTTGATGGGTAAATTGAAGGGCAGCTACAGAGGATGAACAACATATATCGGACAATAGATGGCAGGGAACTAGGGATTCTATCGGGTTACAGAGAAGGCAAAGAAAGAGAAAGGTAGAGAGAGAAAGAGGTTTCTGGCTTCTGGGGACAGAATTATATTTTGTAATTGGGTCGCTTGGAAAAATTGCCCTCTTAATTGCCGAGTGAGGACTGAGTAAATGCACATTATTATACATTTATAATCATTTTTATATTTTATTTGCTATGTTTTGTTTAATACATTTAGAAAATAATTAATACTTAATATAATATTGACGCTCTATTCACGCTCTCAATTTTGAATTCTTCAAAAACAGACGCTCTCACGCTCTCGCTCTCGCTCCTGCTCCTAAGTGATATATGGCGCAATTTAGCAATTAAAATGGCAGTAGAGGGACTGAGGGAGAAAAAAAATTCAACGAAAAAAAAAAGAAGGAGAAGAAGGGATAGAACGGTAAATATATTCCCCAATTCCCTAGCCTATAGCATTTTAAAAAGATAAGGGAAACCCTTCCCAGAGATCAGTCTCTCTGCTTCCGCCGCTCTCCCTTGTTAGCCTCTCCGCAGAACCAAAACTCTTAGACAAGGTAAATCGAAGTGACTCAAAACCCTAATCAGTACCAGATTTATGGTTCTTCCTGTTTCCGTTTTGCGTTTCATCTGCTCCCTTTCAGCCGGCGGCTGTTTTTGTTCTCACTAATGGATGGTGTTTCTTTCTTGTTTTACTTTGCAGATGAATCGGGAGAAGCTCATGAAGATGGCCGGTTCTGTCCGCACTGGCGGAAAGGGAACCGTGCGCAGGTGGGTTAAATAGGGGTTTTTTCCCCTGATGGATTTGGTTTTGTTTTAATTAGATTTGAGTGATTTAGGGTTTTGTGCTAATTCTTCCTTCTTTTGGTCCTTGTAGAAAGAAGAAGGCAGTGCACAAATCGACCACCACTGACGACAAGAAGCTTCAGAGCACTCTAAAGAGGATAGGTGTCAACACCATCCCGGCTATTGAGGAAGTCAACATTTTCAAGGATGATTTGGTCATTCAGTTTGTTAACCCTAAGGTGCAAGCTTCCATCGTTGCTAACACTTGGGTCATTACTGGTTCTCCTCAAACCAGAAGTAATCTCCCTGCTCTTTCCTGTTACTGATCTGATGTTTTCCTGGAGTCCAATGGTGTTTATATTTCCTTCGTGTGTTTGGCTGATGTACGTTTAACCTTGTGTTATTACAGAACTTCAAGATATTCTTCCAGGGATTATCAACCAGCTTGGTATGTTTTCTTTACAGTCGGTGTGAATGTTGATTATGTGTTGTAAATGAAGCTGGATTGAGTTGTAGGAACTTCCACTCATACTTAAGGAGCCTGTGTTGATTATTAACCAATGTTTTGTGGTATCATTCTTATTAGGTAGTGCTTCTAGAGCTAGCTTTCAAACCTGTTTAGTGTATGGGTAAATCGAACGTCTTATTTGTGCAATGTATATGGAACATATGCATGGTTTCTGCTTCGGTTCCCAGGGTTGAGGGAAGAGATAACATAAGTGATGTTCTACCTCTCCTTGGTATTTGGTAATGAAGGTTTTTGTTTTGCCCAAATTAGTTCAATGTATCTTTTTAGGGGTGTTTAACCTGGGTAATTAACATCTCAACTAGTCTCAGAAGCTTGTACCTGGGTTATTAACATAGGCATGGTTTCACTCTGCCATTCATCAACAATGCTTATGCATTCTAATTTACTAATCCTATGTTTTCATTCACTTAACTAACTAATTCGTTGGGAGCTGTCAACTTAGTGTCACTTGATCTACCGCTGAGACATCATGCTATAGCCTGTTCTGTTTTCTATTTTCCTGTAATGCTGGATACTCAGAGTTATGCGTTGCTTACCATTTCTGTCTCCTACATTTCAGGCCCAGATAACTTGGACAACTTGAAGAAGTTGGCTGAGCAATTCCAAAAGGAGGCCCCCACTGGTGTGACTGGAGTAGTTCAGGAAGATGATGATGATGTCCCAGAACTTGTAGCCGGAGAGACATTCGAAGCTGCGGCAGCGGAAGAAACCCGTACTTAAGGCTGGAAGCTCTGAGGGTCTTTTTTGTTTTGCTTTTCTTCAGATTTGCTCTTATTCTCTCTCCGTGGTTGTTACCTCCCTCCTTTTTTCCTTACTGATGAACTTGACAATTCTGTAGTAGTTTTTTGCTTTGTCAACGTTCCTTGTGAGCAGCTCAGAAACAAGTATTACTATGGAATCGAGTAAAACAGTTTTAGGGTGTCATTTAGTTGATGGTTCTAGGTTGCTTCCAACCGTTATGATCGGAAGGTCCTGCTCATGGTCTCTTAGATTATTGTATTCTGTGCATTTGTTGTGCAAGTTCCGGCTGCAGCTAATATTTTCAGGTCCCAAAATTGTTCATGTCAGGATCTGTGCATTGATCGTAGTATGGCCGACTGCCTCGAATGAGCTTGGACGGGACTCGTTAGGCTTAGAATGCTTCGATTTTGGATGGTGATAGAAAATCTAGTCTCGCTGAGTGTTTTGGATGGTGATAGAAAATCTAGTAGGCGTCGTTTGGTTTTGGTGTTAGTTAAGTGATAGTTAAATTCATAAATTGATGACAGTTTTGGTGATAGTTAAATTTATAAATTGATGACAATGTGATAGTTAAAAATAATATACATGTATATAAGAAAAATAGTTTAGTGTAGTTTACATTGTTTGGTTTCTGTGATAGTTATTCAAATATTGAAATAAGTTATATTACTTTTTGGATGAAATGTAACTTTTGCCCTTTGTTTTTTATATTAGAAAAGCAACACACATAAAAGATTGGGACATAGTGGGAACAAAACATAGGTTGGAACGAACACATGCACTTGCATGCAATGAACAAACAAAAGGCACACTTGCAAGAAATTAGTTAAACCTCTGGATCCTGGATACGGGTTCCAAGCATCGGCGAGGATTAAGAGGAGAAAGGATCAGGCAATTTGGCAGTCTAACCACGGTCAGGATAGATGGAACGAACACATGCACTTACATGCAATGAACAAAAAAAAAAGGCACATTTGCAAGAAATTAGTTAAACCTCCGGATCCTGGATCCGGGTTCCAGGCACCGGTGAGGATTAAGTGGAAGGAAGAGAAAGGATCAGGCAATTTGCCAGTCTAATCACGGTCAGGATAGATGGAACGAACACATGCACTTGCATGCAATGAAAAAAAAAGGTACACTTGCAAGAAATTAGTTAAAACTTTCTCATGGGTAATGACTATTTATTAGTCAAAACTTTCTCATATTCTTTTTTATTAACCAAACCTATTGAACTAATAATTAATCAAATGTTAACATCCACTTAGCAATTTTTTTAGTAATATTGACTTGGCAACATGATACAGACTTGGAAGAGTCACATAGAAGTCAACATTCCAAAATTTTAGCATTTTAACTAAGAAAAGAGTTACAAAATTATTAACGATAATGTAAAAATGGCTAATACTTTGACGTGCTACAAAGAGTTTGGCTAATTATTAGTATTTCAATAGATTTGGATAAAATAAAAGAATATGATAATAAATAGACCTTACCCTACAAACAATACAAACTAAAACGACAAATATGATGGAAAAACACTCGGGTTGACTATGGAGACTCCATCCCTATATAGAGTGATTTTCGTCCCAAAGTCAACCCGATTATTTTTTTGACATACGAACATTACAAACATGTGGACAAAAATCACAAACTAGACCGACAAACGTACAAAATGAAAAAACACTCGGGTTGACATTTGAGGATCCATCTCTATACAGAAGAGTTCCATCCAAAAGTCAACCAGGTTGTTTTTTAAAAATAAAAAACATTACAAGCATGGTTGACAAAAATGACAAACATGGTGGGCAAATAACAAAGCTTACAAACATTACAAAAGAATCCGACAAACATTACATAAATAACAAAGATTACAAACATTACAGAATAAACCGACAAACATTACAAAGCATACTAACAGTACAAAATAACGCTACTTACAATACAAATCAGTAAAATTGTATTACAAATCAATGAATACAAAGTATACCAATCATAACATAAGTATACAAACTAGACTAACAAATATTATAAATAAAAATATATACAAATTAGTTATATAAACATTACAAACACAATCCACCAATAATATATAGTACACTTTTGTGTACTTTTCTCCATTTCAAATTTTCTGCTCTCTCCTTAATTTTAGGTAGGGGTGTAGTGGTAATTAAGAATGTTAATAATTAAAAAACTATTAAAATTAAAAATATGTTTAAACGTGGGGAAGTTACCCACCAAACTTTCAGTTTTTTGGGTAGCATTTTTTATTTATTATAATAACAATTAATCTTTATTTTTTAGTATTCTTAATCTTTCAATCATCTTTTCATAGTGTGAACACATTTTACTCTATAATTTTACTTTTTCTTTGATTCTTCTATTATAATTATGGATTTGTATTTCATTTATTCTAATTCCGAATTCAAATATTTTTGTGTAATAAAATCTTATATATTTTTATGTACACAAGATATTAATTTTGATATGTTTTAAAATAAAATATTTTATTCTCCTGAACATGTGGTCATCAAACCCCAAGGGTTGACCTAATGATAATGTGGGGATGAGATTATACCAGGATATATTAGTTGTGAACGATCATAGTATAAATTTATATAAAGAAGGCATTTGCATAGTATCAATTTACATGATAGTTTTAGATGCCTAAAGTAACAATTGATGTCGTAACGAATTTTTTTTTAAAGTATGCAAAAGTTTATTTCAGTGTGTGATTACAACTACATCCAATTTATTGGATTACATGGATTGGAATTAATCAACTAGGTTAGTGTTCAGACTTCAGAGCCACACACTTTGAGATAGAGATATTGAAGATGTAAGTAAATGTATGGTTGACAAAATTAGCTTTATTAATTACTTGAAAGGATATTAATCCCACTTTAGTTCCTAGGAAATCACCACAATCATACATTTATTAAGTTGAATCTAAAAATTATGTTAATTATTGCATATTCGCATATTTTGGGCTATGATGTTGTACAGTAGATTTTAGTGTTAAGAATTAGAGAATTAATAGTTTAGACAGTATATTTTCAATGTATTGACTTGAGGATATATGGTTAATCGTATAGGATGAAAGAGAATATGTATAAGCTCATAGAGACATGTTTACTTGGATTCAAATTTGAGGTTTAGATTTATGATGACAATTAGATAAATATATATTTTTTAAAATATTTATCATAATTATTTTTTGAACCATTTTCTTATTTAGAGATTTCAAAATTTTGGGCTCTGAGCTTAATATATTATATGTAGGCAATCGGTGGCTAATGACTACATAACCTAAACACTAATATGTTCTTTCGAAAAGATTGAGTTGAGAGTTAAGGATTAATGATGGAATATTTATTTTGTTTGAGGGTTTTGTTTCAGATGTGATGTGATTGTATGATTGAATTGTTTGATTAGACTATTTATTTTATTGTCAAATACTAATTTAACTTTCATAATCTAAGTTAACTTCCAAAATGATTAATGAAATTAAAATTTCTATACTATATACTATAGTAAAAATTATATGAGAACCATTTTATTATTGCATCTACCAACCGAAAGTGTAATTTACGAAAAATTAAAATATAAAAGTTCCGGCCAACTGGCCGGATTAAAAGCTAGTAGACAAAAACAACAAACTGGAATGATAAACAATATAAACCGAATTGACATAAACATTACAAACGAAACTCATAAACATTACAAAATAGGTATACAAATATCACGATTCCAGTACTGCCGCCGGATAATCCTCCCCCGCCGTCTTTGGTTGCCAGAAAATCCGCGTCGCCGATCGACCGGAAATCCAATGTCATCGGAGACTCTCTCTCGATCTCTCGAATGGGAAGAAAGGTAGAATTAATTTTCTTCGTGTGGCCTTTTCCCATGAATCTCCGACGGCTAGTCCATTATCGACGCTTGAATTAATTTCCTCCCCTAGCCCCTGGCCTGCGGAGGCGGTGAGGGACGACAGGGAGAGAAATTATGCCGCCGAAGGATTCCGCCGCCGGGAGGGTAGAATTCCAAAAAAAAAAATTCTCAGCGCAGCTGGACACTGCGAGGGAGGAAGGACAAATTTTTTTTTTTGTTTTAATTGCTAAATAAATTAATTAGATAATCATTGCATTGTCTTTCATTAAGTTACATTAATCATAGTCATTGAATTTTACTGAAGTGGAAGAGCTAAGATTTATTTAGTTATGTCACTATGTCATCCTCCTCCCCCTAGTCACATGATCTTGATCTTAGCCTCAGATTAAATAAGTAGAAGATCTATCCATCTGGCTGAAACCATCCACGATAAATAACACCAAAAATAACCACCTAGTACTGGATATAATCTATGTAAAACTGAATTAGAGGTGGTAAGTAAAATCCAAATCATGGATTGGTGAATTAGATTGATGAATTCATCATCATATCAGCCGGTGAATTAAATTGTGCTCCCGGCCGAGCTTCTGCAACAGCAGGTTGCCTTTGCAGATTTGAGGGTGGAATAAACTTACCTTGCTGCAATTCTCTATTATCCCAGGTGTGCGTTTAATTATTTCTAGATTCATGTCGACAAATTACATTTATTAATACCAACTTAAGACACAAATCTATTGAATCCAATCCACAAATTCTCCCATGAATCTGATATACAAATCTATTGAGAGTTCACGCACTTCAAGCTTAACATCATACTGAGCCTAGAACAGGGGAACAAATGATATTTAGGCAATTCTCGTATTGGGTACTGGTTACGAAGCCATCAAGAAAACGATGAGCATTTCAGATCCAGACTTCGTAGTTGCAACTGCAAGTAGCCACCCCAGCCATGTGATGCGTTTGGCATCGCACAGAAAAAGAAAAGGATGATCAATTATTTTCTAGTAGCATTGCAAGATCAAATATCAAAACAAGGAGAGCGATGCAAAAACCTGGTTAAAAGCACGATCGGACCACATTGACCAATCGATACAGCGACGGTTGTACAGTACCATTGATCAAATGACAACCTCCAAGTAAGCTTAAAGTCGACCGACTCTTTGCATCTCATCCATGGAGATGTGATAAATATAGAATGGAAAACTAGACAGGGATTACGAGACCACCATTTTTTATTCTGGGAACCAATCACTAAGCAATGACGGCACTCCATAAAACATCCAGCAAGTCTGAAGACACATATAACACCACCACAACCAAAAACTGGTTTTCACTTGCTGACGATTTAAGACAGCCACACAGCACAAACTTAAAAAGCAAACAAATTCCAGACAGTACTGATATCCCCCAAACTTTCAATCCGTCCCAACTGTCACACACACATGTGAGATTCTTCACCCTTTTTCCTTCTAAACAACTTGAAAGTCTACTAGGTAGATAACAAGATCTCGCTTATCTTGCAACTTTTAGAAACCATGGATCTTGATGTTCTCCTTCTTAACAATCCCAGCCTATTGAACCAAATAAAGAACACCATAGCTAATGAAGGCATTGAACTATTGAAGCAATTGACATAAGAATTATGAATTGCTAGTACCTGCACAAGGAATGTGGAGACGTTCTTCCTCTGATCGCCCTGAAGCTGAATGACCTGTGCAATACAGGGAGAAAAGTCCCAACTTTTTCAGTCAGGCATGAACTGGGATATGATGCTGAAAATTAACTCGATCAAAAAGGTGGTGATGGGTTTATACAAACCTGGCCTAACTCAGGGTCCTGGACGACTGTACCATTACAGCAGAACTCCTTCTTCAAGTCCTTGAGTATCTTGTTGTAGCTGAACTCTTTCTTCAACCCTTGCACAGTAGTCAGGCTTTTCCTCCCATTTCGCTGCTGTATGCGCACATGAACGTACTCTTTTGTACCCGCACCAGAGTCCTCAGCATTTGCATCAGCAAAAGGGTCTGCACAACAATAACCTGGATAAGCAAAAACTCGACTTACTACACCCACCAAACTAAGGAGCGAGGCACTGGTACATATATTGACTGGAGATCGGGAACATACCAAATGCAGATGGAATTTGATTGTCAAACTCAGACATGAACCTTGGATTGAATGAGTAGAGCAGAACCAATACAATGCCCTTGTGCAGAATAAGCCTTCAAATGCTGGAATCAAACCACAAAACATGAAAAAAGTCCTATAAGTCAGAAAACTGCAGCTATAGATCCAAATCCCAGAACATAATGAACTAACTCTACGATTCACAAAAATAGATAATCATCTCAATCCCATCAGATCAGCTTACTATCAGTCTATCAGCAGTCACTAACATTATCTCAATATAACCCAGTGACAGAAAGTTCCTCTCCATACCAACTATAGCACCCACAAACTCATTCATCTATCAGGTCCAATATCCACCCTCTACCTACACAGCGGATTGGCCAATCCATAAAACCCGCAAGCTACAGCAGATCTCGCGGGCCACGAGAAACGACGTTAACATATAAACGAACAACTCTGACACGCCCTCAATTCCAATCGAAAAAAGAAATCATGGATGGCAAAAACCCTAAAATCCAGCACGCCCCAAAAGGATTGAAAGAGGATCTGACCAAGATCAACCCGTAAACAAAATCCAAGATAAAAGGGGAAAAAAAGCTCAAGAAACCTAAATCAAGATGCAGCCTTTTCGATCAAACCAGAACAATTGCAAGAAAGACAATTCTGAATTCACAACCCACAACCAGAAGCGACGGGGAGAGTTCGGATTCTTTCAGTTACCAACCTGAGTAACGGGGAGGAAGCTTGAGGAATCTGGGTTCGGAAAGGAAGGGAACCGGTTACAAGGCGGAGGACGAGAGAGAGATCGGGGAGATTTATTCTTCCTATATAGAGCAGAGGCGACTTTTTTTCTCTTGACCAAAAACCAAATGAACCGCCTCTCCTTATCTCTCTCTACTTTCTTAGTGGCACAGAACAAATGATTTTCCTATCCCAACCCCTACGAATTTTTTGGTTTTACATAGAAAAAAAGGGGCCGGATAGAATAACAACACCCATTTTGTTGTTACTGTAACAACAAGGGTATAAGGGTCAACTTACAAGAAAATTAAAAAATAAAAAACGAAAAAATAGAATAAAAAAGCAAGAAACGCGTGTTTCTCTACCTTCTACTCTGCCCAATTCGTTCTAGATCTCAGTGGCATCCCTCATCTTCATCGTTTCTTCTTTGTTCCGCCACCGATGGATCGCAGTCCTCTTGTCTTTCCTTCACTGTTCCGGCTCCGATCAATCCTCCCTTCAGTTTGCGTCGGCGACGATTAATCCCACAATCGAGTTCCGTCACGCATCTTCCCTCCCATGTGTGGCGGCGACGATTAAGGCAACGCCTGCGTCTGCGTCAGAATTCAATCTCTCTTTGCTACCATCCAAGTGTCGGTGAAGAGGGGAGAAGCGGAGAGAGAGGTGTTCGGCGGCGGGATGGTTTGACGAATCCCAAGTAATCACTTTTCTGCATTGCGGAGAGAGAGGTGTTCGGCGGCGGGAGAAGCGGAGGGAGAGGCAACGCCTGCGTCACAAAAATCCCCTGCATCTTCCACAAATAAATGCTCCTTTCTCCTTCACCACCCCCAAATTTCAACATTTCACCTCTCACTCTCCCCTGGCCGAGTTGTCTTGTTGGGTGCTTCTGTTTGTCTATACCAATAATCATGTTTCTTTATCCAGGGCTAGGGATGGAAATTAGGGAGGCAATGAAGAGAGTAGTGGTGCAAATTGTCTTTGTTGTTTTGGTATTCACAATGTGTTTCTGGATTTCATCAGAATACTTTTTACTTGCCTTAATAAGGTCTTTTACTGTTTTGGTGACCTGTATGTTTCCAGGTCCTGATTGGAGTGGCTTCTCTTACAATAACAATGATGATGATGATGATAACGAGGGCTTTGGCAGAAGGAAGCTCGATGGAAGTGAAAAGACAAGGTTGATGATGATGATGAATAGGTGGAATGGTGGTTTTGAGGGAGCACTAGTGATATGAAGCAGTCGAGAGGTGCAATTGAAAGCATGATGGTGATGGTGTATGGATGAGAAACTCAGTGATTTATGGAAGCAACTAGTTTCACTTCGTTGATTGAATTTGCTAAACATATCAAACTTTCCTAATACAAACTACTAACATGCTAAAACAAATAAAAAAAGCATACCAGAAACAATCACAAATCTCTTTAAACATACAAGAAACCTCACAAAGTAAACCACAAATAATTTTAAGCACACCAAGAACCTCCTAATGCAGACCACAAACACGGTAAAACAATCCACAAAAGCATACCAGAAACCTCCCAATCCATACCACAAATCCCCTAAAACAAACCAAAAACCCCACAAAGCATACCACAAATATTCCGAAAGCACACCAGAAACCTCATAATGCAAACCACAAACACGGTAAAACAAACCACAAACCTCCTAATGCAGCCCACAAATATATTAAAACAAACCAGAAACCCCACAATTCAAACCATAAAATTTTCGAAAGCACACCATAAACTTCTTAATGCAAACCGGAAACACAATAACGCAAACCAGAAACCTCCGAATGCATACCACAAATCTCCTAAAACAAACCACAAACCTCACAAAGCAAACCACAACATTTGCGAAGCACACCAGAAACCTCCTAATGCAAACCACAAACACAGTAAATCAAACCACAAAAAAGCAAACAATAAACGTCCTAATGTAGACCACAAATATATTAAAACAAACCAGAAACCCTTCAATGCAAACCACAAAATTTTTTAAAGCAAACCAGAAACTTCTCAATGCAAACCACAAACATTATAAAGCAGACCAAAAACTTCTCAATGCAAACCACAAACACGATAAAGCAAACCACAAAAGGCGTACAAAAATATGAGAAACCAAACCATAAATCTCACAATGCAGACCATAACATCCGGTGATCGTTGACCGTTGACCGGTCAACGAAGACCGTTGACCGAACTCCGGTGACCGTCAGTGACCGGATTCCGGCGCCGATAAGCATATTCCGGCCCCGGTGACTAGATTCCGACGCCGGTAAGCATATTCCGACTCCGATAAGCATATTCCGGCCACAAAATAGTATATTCCGGCGACAAAAGCATATTCCGGTGACTGGTGACCATTTTCCGGCGACCGTTGGCAGAGTTCCGGCGACCAAATTTTTGGGCAGAAAATAAAAAATATATTTTTTTTAATTTTTTTATTTTTTTTATTTTTTTATTATTTAAACATATTTTTCATAATGACAATTATACCCCTGTTTTGATTTTACACTAGGTCAACTCAACTAATAAAAAGTCATCACATCCCTAGCTTCCTATTGGTTGGGGACTAGTGTTGTTACAATAACAACACAATGGGTGTTGTTACAATAACCGGTCCCGAAAAAAAGACCTCTTGGGCTCAAGGTCGGCTATTTTTCCGTCGGTTTATCCGCTGGATGGACGGCTGTGATCGTATTGCTGTGATGCGGGACCCACTATTTTGGAAAATTGCGAAAAGTTCGTTGATCTGAACGAGACGAATGATTATCTTAAAATAAGCTAAATGACAAATATCTCCCTTCTGCGTACGGTTTACGTTTTGGATACGATGTCGACAATTTCAGGCCTGGGCTACGGCCTACGAGTCGGCCCAATTAGACCATCTCCAAAGTCAAAACGTAGAAAGTGGGTTTTCCCATTTTTGGGTCTACAAGAGGATGTGGGAAAGACCAGAAAAGGGTAAGGTGGACATTTGGAGTGGGTTAGTGAGAGTAGGGGTGATAATCGGTTTACCGGTTAACGGTATAATTGATTATCAAATTGGTAAGAAGGTTTGAAATGTTTGAATTTTCGTCGTTTGGTTCATCAACGGATCAAAAAAAAAATGTGGAGAGATGCTCTCGCCTCTCTCCTAGAGTTCTTCCATTTTGTCGAACTCCGCCTCTTTTCCTTCTTTGAGGGTTTGCTGCAGGCCGCCATAGCTGACCGCGGTCATCAAAGGGATCACAAATCTTCCCTAGCCCGTTACGCCGACAGCCTCTTCCCCGACAGTAAAGCGACGACGTCAACAGAACCAAGGCCGTCCCCGTCAAATCTCGCGAGGTCTAGTGGCCGGACCGGGAACAGCAGGACGGCAGGGGCGCTGAAAAGAGGCCGCCTCTCCTCCTGGGCTAGTGAATCAAATACTGAGCAGGTGCAATCTATGAAAAAGAGAAGGATCACCACTCATTCGAAACCGTGGAGGTTCAAACTTCCTTCGGTAAGTGAATTGGAATGGGTTGAAGGGGACGTTACCCAGAATCCTAGTGAGAGAAAGGAGATGGCCCCAGAGGATGTCGTAGACTCCTGGGCCAGTCATTCATCATCTGATCTCAGACCTCGAGGTGAGGCGAGATCGAGTCTTACTGAAGTTTCTACGGCGGGGCCAGACACAGACCCGTCGCTGCGAGTGGCGACCACTCTGTTGGCCATTGCTATCGCCAGAAAACTGGTGATATCAGGCAATTTGAATAATTTAGAGAACATTAAGGGAAAGCAAAAAAATGGTGTCCATGGTGGGGCGATCTCGACCCATGATCCTATGGAGACCAGTGTGCTGGGCGGATCTATCCAATTCCGGCCAGCCTTGCCGGCGGGGAAGGCAATCGGACTGAGGACGCCGATGACCGATAATGCCGTGATTACCCCGGATTTTCCTCGATTGCCCGATACTGGGTACGGTTGGAATTTTGTTCTGTTACGTAGTTTGAGAGGGAAATCCTCAAAATCTACAAATTCAAAATGGAAACAGAAACCAGATATATCTGAGCGGTTTGGTCTCCCACTAAGCTTGGGACTACTATTGCCTCTAGGACACTGCGATCTGGCTTCCTACTTAAGGAGGGCTAGCTCCCATGCTGAGACTGCTCATTCCCGAAAGCAGAACCAGCTACCGGTGACTAAGCAGTTGAAGGTCCCAGGCGTTCAGGTGGTGATCTCAGGTATATTGACTGTTAAGGGCGGAGGGATTGAATTACTTCTTAGCCACGATTTTATCGTATCCCACCGTCTCGTTTTTTTATTCTCACGTTACCCATGGACGTTGAGTAATCCCCCTCTCCTGATCGTGAATGACGATACCATGACTGTTTATTCTCCATTGTAGAGTATGACCATGTCGCACGTCGCCAAAGACCAGGTTGTCGAATTCTCTTTGGAGGAAGTCCAGTCGGAAAGGACGCTCAGGTCTCGCACTGTGCTGGGCCGCCTGTTCTCGGAACACAGATTCTCCATTGCTGAGATACGGTAATCGGTGAACAACCCATGGCAAGGTAGGGGGAGAATCCGGATTCGAGTGGTCGATCATGATCTCTATGAATTCGTGCTCCCATCGGAGACGGCTAAAGGCTGGATTCTCAAGCAATCCCCATGGGTAATTAAAGATAGGATCGTCCACTTGCGGCCTTGGACTCCCACCATCAATAAACAAATCTTTGATGGGCTAGCTACTGCTCCCTTCAAAGTGCAGCTGTGGGGAGTGCAAGAAGACTGTTTTACTACTCAGTTCGGCCGAAAAGTAGTTGCTGCCACGATTGGCCGGGTTCTGGAGGTGGGGCTCTACTCCTGTCCTGAGACGGCTCGAAATTTCATCAAAGTTAAAGTCTTGATCGACTTCTCCAAGCTGTTACGTTCACAAATAATGGCGTCCAATGACGAAACTGGCCGTTTTTGGATCAACCTCAAGTATGAACACCTCCCGAGTTTCTGTTTCCATTGCGGGAGGGTTGGTCATATGCGTCAGGATTGTTCTTTTGAACCCCCATTGGGGGTAGAAAAATTTGGTCCGCATATGGTCACTAAGAAAATGGGCCGCAAAATTGTGGACGTGGAAGATGGTGATCGGACCTATCCCCCTCGATCGGTTTGGATTAACAATGAGCACCGTGAACCACACGATAAGCAACATGGCCGCTCGAGCGCGGAGGCCCGGGCCGAGGACAGGGTGGGACGTCAGCCGGGTAAGGTAGCCAAGGAATGTTCAGGGGACATGTCGAGTCCGCGTTGGATGGGTACCTCTTCGAGACCTTTCATGGCAGTAGAACAACAAGGAGACCAAGGTCGATCGACGTTACGATTCCCCATGACTAAGGCGCCTAAGCTGGTGCTTGGGGGAGCTGGTCGCAAAGAACCCAAGTACAGGGAGCAGAAGTCCAATCTGACTAATGGGGAACAGGTCGGCGGGCCGGCAAGCAAGGAGGCTTACGTACCTCGCGATGGGAGGTGAAGCGGGAGGGCAGAGAGCGACGTAGCAGGAAGACTAGGCATGGGCTTGCCCCACAGCCCCTCCCTGACTCACCGGGTAGGGCTGAGCCCGTTGATCATGGTCGCCGGAGGAGGCTAATTCTGCAGGAGGAGTCCGAAGAAGAGTTTGTGGTGCGAGAGGTACCCATGACAGCTGGCGAAGGTGCTTCTGATGCCGAGGGGGACTCCCCCCAACCTGCCCGGCAGATGAATACTGAATGCAGGAAGGGTAGCGCTCGGGTGACCAGCAAAAAATCCCTGGAGCCAACTGCTTTGCCCCATGATCCTCCCCCGGCTCGTGCAGCGGTGCAGATTAGCCGAGACTCTGGCCTATCGAAAAAACCTTCCGCAGGTGTAAAAATCCCAGGGCATAGGGTGATTCTGGATGCGGTGCCGCTGCAGGTGGTAGCCCCCTCGTGCAGATTTCCTTCGCCGAGGGAGGTTGTACCCGATTTTGGGGTTACCATACCCACTTCAGGAAGCCCGAAAACGGGTGATGGCTGTGCTGACCTGGGAGGCTCGGAGGAGACGGTCTCTGAAGAGGATGTCACCCTGTTTGAGCTTAAGAGGCGGCCCCGTGTGAAGAGGATAGCGGAGCGCCATGTCCAGGCAGGCCGCGTCCAGCAGGTGGTCCAGGCTTTTGAGAAAGGTTTCTCCATGAACAAAGTGCAAGGTGGGCCGGACAGGAGTTCCAAGCATTCGTTGGATGGTGGGGAGCGAGAGGAAGTGGAGGAGGAAGGAGTGAAGCAAATGGACCTAAATGAATATGGCTCAAATTTTCTGGTGCCTTTGGCAGGAGGAGTGAAGCGGAGTTTTGATGATGTCGAGGGTATTGCTGAAGAGGCCCCGTACCCAAAGAAACAATTTATAGAAGAGAATGATGAATTGGAAACGGTGGACGAAGCCAGCCGAAATTGGCCCCAAGCAGATAAATGAGGCTTCTTGCCTGGAATGTGAGAGGAATTGGACCATCCCTGACATTCCAAACTGCTGTCGGTTTAGTTCGTTCGAATAAACCGGATCTCGTGTTCTTTTCTGAGACACGATCGAGCCGGAGAGTAGTGTCCCGTCGTATGCACGGGTTAGGGTTTCAGCTTTCTTGTTGTTTTTTTGTTGATGCGATTGATGCATCAGGCGGTTTAGTTGTTGCTTGGTCCCCCGAAGTTGAGGCTTCGGTATTTTTCCATTCGAATTTCTGTATTTGCACGCAAATTAATGAAAATAATGGTTCTTATGTGGTGGTTTCTGTTTACATTAGTTGTAATCCCTCGTTAAGAGCTACCCAGCTAGCTCAATTACAACAAATTTGTGCGACTTTCCAGCTCCCCTATGTGGTCATAGGAGATTTTAACACTACTCTTCATGAGAGTGAAAAAGATGGAGGGAATGCTTCGCAAGCTCTTAGCCTTCGAGATTTCATTCAGGAACTTGGTCTCCATGACCCTGGGTACCAAGGGGATCAGTTCACCTGGACCAACAAGCGGATGGGCGTGGCTTGTATTCGTGAAAGGCTGGACAGGGCGTTATGTTCTCATAGTTGGATTAATCGATATCCCGATACCCTTGTCCGACACTTCACTGACCAAGGGTCTGATCATCGTGCCATCCTTCTCGTTGATAAACCTTACACCAGGAATTCTCGCCCTTTGTTCCGATTTGATGCTCGGTGGGCGGAGAATCCGGAGGTCAGGGCGATGGTCAACTATGTCTGGCAGGAAGAAATTCATGGGTCACCGATGTTTCAGCTATGGGAGCGCCTGAAAAAGCTCCGTCATCTTCTGTATGATTGGAGTAGGGCGGGTACTACGAACTCCTTGCGTAATATTCATACGCTCCAGGCTGAAATTGAGAGGATAAAGCAGGTCCATCCTATTGATTGGGATGCGATTCGCCCATTGGAGCTGGAACTTACTCGACAATGGGAGGCAGAGGAAATTTATTGGCAACAAAAATCTAGAGTTCATTGGCTTAAAAAGGGTGATAAGAACTCTTCTTATTTCCATACTGTTACTAGAGCTCGGCGAAAAAGAAACTTTGTGGAAGGGCTTCGCAATGAAAATGGAGACTGGGTCACGGAGGAGGTTGGTAAGGCAGACATTGCCTGTGGTTTTTACAAGACCCTTTTTACCTCGGAGACCCAGGTTGGGAATATGTGGGATAGAGTGGCAGATTTGCCCATTGCCCAGAGTATTACGCCCGATATGAATGCTAGTCTCACTGCGGAGGTCCTTCCTGCAGAGGTGCGCAAAGTGGTGTTCTCAATGGGATCGAAACAAGCCCCGGGTTCTGATGGGTTTACAGGCAAGTTCTTCAAAGCCTTCTGGGATATTGTGGGCACCTCGGTGGTTGAAGCAGTATGCTCGTTCTTTCGGACAAGTAGGATGCTTCGTAGCTTCAATCACACCTGGTTGACTCTGATTCCCAAAGTAGATAATGTGGAGACCATGAAACAGTTGCGCCCGATCAGCCTCTGCCAGTTTGTGTACAAGATCATAACCAAGATTATGGCTGAGCGATTGGCTAGTCTCCTCCCGCAGGTTATCTCCCGGGGCCAGAATGCTTTTATCAGGGAACGTCAAATAGTGGAAAACATCCTCCTCGGGCACGAACTAATGCATTACCTGAAAATCAAAACGAAAGGCAAGAAAGGGTACATGGCTCTGAAGGTTGACATGGAAAAGGCCTATGATAGAGTCGAATGGCCATTTCTTCTGGCAGTTTTGGAGAAGATGGGTTTTAGTTCTACTTGGCGAGGATGGGTTCTGGAGTGCCTCAGGTCCACTTCATTCTCAGTCATGATGAATGGCACGCCTGCGGGATACTTCACCCCTTCTAGAGGCCTGCGACAGGGAGATCCCCTATCTCCTCTCCTATTCGTGCTATGCACGGAGGGATTCGCAGCACTTCTGAATAAAGCAATTTCGGAGGGTAAACTTCAAGGGGTGAAAGTGGCTCCTCGGGCTCCATGAATCACTCACCTGTTTTTTGCTGATGATTCTTATTTATTCCTCCGAGGTTCTCTTCAGGAATGTGAGAATATGATTGAGGTGCTGAATGAATATGAGGAACTGAGTGGCCAGAGGGTTAACTTAGACAAATCCGCGGTATGCTTTAGCAAAAGCATTGCGGTGGCTGATCAGGAGTTCTTGGCTCAAATACTGGGGGTAGGGGCTGTTGGTGTCCACGATAAATATCTGGGACTACCTACGTTGATTGCTCGGTCTAAAATGGCTACTTTTCGATACCTAGAAGAAAAGCTCCTGGAGCGCTTACAAGGGTGGAAGCAAAGGACTCTGTCATGGGCGGCTAAGGAGGTTCTGATAAAATCCGTTGCCTTGGCACTCCCGCTCCATGTCATGTCCTGTTTCAAACTTCCTATCTCCCTGTGTAGACTGTTGGACAAACATGTAGTGAGGTTTTGGTGGAATGTGGTGGAGGGCCAGCCTAGAATTCGGTGGTTATCATGGAGAAATATGTGCCGCAGCAAACATGATGGGGGCATGGGGTTCCGTCGCTTTGAGCTACTCAATCAAGCTCTATTAACCAAGATTGGGTGGCGGATCATTACTGACCCCCTATCCCTTTTACCTCAGGTCTATAAGGGAAAATATTTCCCCTCCGGGTCATTCTTGACGGCTACGGCCCGTTCCAGGCCATCTTGGGGCTGGCAGAGTATTTTGTATGGCAGACAATTGCTCGAGCAAGGGCTTCGGTGGCAAATTGGTAATGGACAAACTGCTTCTTTACTTTTGTCTAACTGGGTCCCATCCCTTCACCCTGACCCCCCGCGGTATAATCCTTTGGTGATTCCGACTGAGGGGGACCTTCGGGTGGAAGTAGTAATCTGTCCGGGGGAAGGGCGGTGGAATGAGTCTAAGCTGAGGCAGTGGTTTGACCCCCCT